GACCCCTTGCTGCCCGGCGATCAATACAACCGATGGGCAGAGAGAATCCTCCCCAATGCCACGCTGCTCATCATCTTCGCCGGCGGGCTGTAACCTCCACCCCCTCCCCTCATATCATCAGCATCCATCCTCTTGTGAAGCTCGCCACGCATCGCGGCATCGCGGGGGACCTTTTTGTCACTGCAGCAGGTCAGCCGCTCAGTTGAAGTATTTTACCAGCTTGAATTACCTGCAGCCGCCTGCCCTTCGACGACCGTTAGTGCCGTTTCCCTGGACTAAAACGCCAGATATATTAAAAAAAAAAAACATCCTGTATGCTGTTGGATAATAGACACTTCAAAGCATGTGTGCGTAGGTGTAAGAATGATAGTGCAGTGCATGCGTTTATGAGAGGGAGAGGGATAAATAGTAATAGATCCAGGGAGAGCAAGCGAGAGAGAGGTGCCCCCCACCCCAGTGCCTCGGCAGTTCCCTGGTTTACTGTAATATGCACAGATCGGTCCGGCAGAGGCAGGAATGGCTGCTGATGGCAGCCGAGTCATGAAAGCAGGGGAGACCTGGGTTAAGGAGGGCCCCCCTCGAGCCCCCTTGCTCCTTCAGCCACCCACCAAAAGGCTGTTCTTTGTCTTTCACTGTGGTGACCCCTCCCCCAATCCCTGTCTGCCTCTCTCTCTCTCTTAACACCTAGCGACAATCAAGGGAGGGGGGCACGGAGCGATAAATGGCACATACGGTGTATCAGGATTTGATGCCATGACTCACTGTAAATCATCATCATAAGTCTGAGTGATTTCATCCATGTGAATAAAAAGAAAAGGGAATAGTGTGAGGAAGCACTGGTTTACTTTGCGTATGCCATGCAGGCATGATGAATGGCTCTCATCTGTGTGCTGTGTGCTGCTGCCTGTCACAGCAATGGAGCCTGTATCATATTACCTTTGTCTGGCTTGGTCATGCTCCCTCACCGAGCAGCTCCAGGAGCACAGCTACAGTATTTCAGCAAGCCACCTTTTAGTAGGTTTTTTTTTTTTTTTTTTTTTTTTAAATGTATTTCATAAATCACTCATTTGGTGTCAGGAAAATGATTTTCTATTTGCTGCAATGATACATGATTACGTTGTAGATGAGGGGAAAGGGGGCCTGTCAAAACATACTCATCATTCCCTACTGGTGCTTGAGAACAAAAGCTTTTACTGAAGAAGAAGAAGAAGAAGAAGAAGAAGAGAGGATGATACTTTGCTACACACACACGAAGCAGTGATGTAAACTTAACGCTACAGATATACTGTACATTCTTACCTGTCCAATGTCACCAACAATAGCCCCGGTCCCGTCTATCCTCGGTCTTTTGCACTCCGCCTCGGCTAAGTCGACGAGCACAGCGGCTGTCTGAGCGTCGGGCTCCGGGTCTCCTCGCTTCATCCCGCGGACAGCTGCTGGACCCCCGGCCGCGTTCGCGAGGGGTCCGGCTGCCGTATCAATGTCTCTTTCCATTATTCCCCGAGTAACGGGCAGCATTATGGAGGCGACGTCGGTCGACATTAACATCGGACGGCAGACAGTCACCAGTCAAAAAGTCTTGTTTGTAGCTTTGCCTTCTCCGTGTGACTCGTCCACAGCTCGATATTTCACAATGGATTCGCCTTTTTCCCCAGAAAGCGTAGACGGACAGTACAGCACTGGTTCACATCAATAACGGCAGCTGGTACTGTTTATTGCCTAACTTGGCGTTGGCTATTCCAGGCAGAACATTATTCCAGGGTTCTGGACAAAGCCCGTTAAGTTGCAGCTCTTTTCCCCTTTCCCAAAGAAAGTAAAAAAACGAGGCCGAACGGTTGACCCGCTTCAATAAAGATCAAACGTCCGTCTCTTGGATGCCTGGCGAGCTAATTAGCTAGCTAACATCAGCAGCTAGCGTGCTAGCATTACATTCCGCTAGCTCTCCTTATAAATGTGGCTCACTCTCGCTGCCAGTAATAGGAAACGTTGGAAATGAGCTTGGCGTAATACTTCTCCGTCGGACAGGCAGTCCTCTCTACTCTCTCTCTCTAGAATGTGCGTTTGCCTTAAAGCCCTCTCTGTTGTTCCTACCAGCCTCCCCCTTGATTCCGGTCCCTTCTTATCACACCGTCCGTTCCCTCGCCGTGGTCTGCTATGGATGCGTCTTGGCGTGCGGACTGGCTGCCGACAAACACGATTTCCTCTGGTGTGAGTCCCGGTTGGTGTGACTCGTAGCGTGGAGAGAGCGCTGATCCGCGGTCAGATTTGTCTACGGTCACCGGGATCGGAGGGAGAGGAGAGCGAGGTGAGGTGGGCTGGTCTGAGGTCTGCTTTTCCGCCGTCTCCTTCTCCTTCTTCTTCTCCTTCTTTTTTTTTTTGTTTTTTTTTTTCCTTAATTCCCACCGCCGCCACCAGAGCTCCCCCTCCTCCTTCATCCTCACGTACTTCAATATTTAACCAAATTAGAATGAAAATCTTACTATATTTTGCTGCTCACAGTAATGCCAAAAAAATTTCTACTATTTTTTTTCAAAACAATAAATGAATGAAATACATGGGGAAATTATATTAATTATATTAAATAAGGCTACATTTTACCACAGTACTCATAAATAATGTATGTTGTATAAATAAGCAGATAAGTTATACATGCAGAATCATAACACGGTATTAATCTCCGGTGTGGCTCGTCAGATATGTAAATTATTTAATGTATTTGCATGAGAGTGTAAATGATTACATTCTTCAGACATCTTTAAACCTATTCAGGTTATAAATTCAATCAAATTTGTAGTTTGTATGTGTGTTTTTGGAGCATGGGCAAGTCAACTTTTGGTTATTTATTTTTAGTATGAATAAATAACCAAAAGTTTTCAAGACTGAAATAAAATACAATATAAGAAATGAATAAAAAAAAGAGCAGCAATCCGCCTCCTGCAGTCTCTTTGATTATTTTGAGGGAATGAAATACAGTACAGTCGTGTTTTGTAATGTTTTTGCGCCCCCTGGTGGGTCTTATGTGACACGGCGTCGGAAGGGAGGGGCATTTACATCCCGGGGGGGGGTCACTACTCTCTAGTGAAATTGTTGTCATATAATTCATACAGAAGCAACACTAATCAAATACATCTGCTGTTGTGTAGAAAGGTTTATAGTTGAAAAATGCAATAACTGAGAGAGGGGGGGATACATCATGAAGAGAAATACTGTGTCGTTGATGTCACACACACACAGACACACATACACACACACACACACACACACACGCACACACACACACACACACACACACACTTATGTGATAAAACCTGCACTGAATCCTCACTTCACCTGCCTGCCTCCGAAAAGATGATTGCTGTCACTTTAGGCCAGCCTCCTGTGTGAAAATGTGTGTGTTTGTGTGTGCGTATGAGCAGCTGAATGTATTGAATGTGTGTGTGTTTGTGTGTGTGTGTGCTTCTTCCTCTCCCTCTGAATCACTCACTCTATCAACCTCTGTCTCTCTCCCGCTACCTGTCCCTCCGCCACCCACTGAACCCGCAATGATGGACGGCAGTGGGGTCACGTCACTCCACACGGCCGCCTGTTTCACTGACGGAGGCAGAAGCCATTACTCTCTTTTACACAGCCACACACCTCACGGGTCATGAAAAAAGATATCGGTGGTGAGAAATACACCTCAGTGTCTGCAGGAACACCTGTGTCTTGGTGCATCTCTTTCTACAATTCCTGTAGTCTTCACATTGCACACTTTAACAGTATGCATGGTATAGCCTATGTCCTTTCGGTCTCGTTTTGCACAATTAATCAGTGTTTCTTTGTTCAGACTGTGCAGCAGGGAAGAACACGTTTCTTTCTTTTATTTCATAAATGTTAAGTTAAGAGCATGCTAAGTCAGGCATCTGATTGTGAACTTGTGATTTTGGGGTTTAGACGGATAAAACAAGGATCTTAAAGATGCTACCTTGGGCTCTGGGAAATTGTGTTGAGCATATTGTAATATAATGCATAGACACGTTTATTTGAGGGAATAATCAGCAGATTCATCTTAACAGTTGCAGCACTGTAAGTTGCATTTCTTTGTTCTGTTCAGTTGAGTCCGGACAACTCGATTTGCTTGTATTAAATAAACCTGCGTGAACTGAAGAAACTTCAATCTCTCTTGTGTTCTGTGGGTGTTCGTCACTGAGTTCCTGTAGTAGTGAGAATCCTGTGATGTCTCACCACGAGTCAGATAGCAAATATGTGTTAAGCCAGCTTTTAGATATTGAGGTTAAATCAACTTCAAAGTCTAAACCACCGATCATCGACATAGGAAAAACCACAACATGGGCTATACAAAAAAATTAATTGAATTGACAAGGAGAAAATGTGAATCAACAAAGCCAGGAGGAGAGAATTTGCATGAAGGTAGCCTACTTGTCCCTGAGATACAACTTTTTTATATATCCGGTTGAATAGTGTACCCAAATTATAATGTGTGTGTGTGTGTGTGTCTATATGTGTGTGTGTGTGTGTGTGTGTGTGTGTGTGTGTGCGCGTGTGTGAGGTAAAGAGAGGGGGAAGGAGAGATGGCACAGAGCATTTCTTGTGTTAAGTTTCACATTTACAAGAGTCCAAAAATGTCCACTAGTCTTTTCAAATATATTTTATTTCTGCGTGATAAACAATTACAATGGCCTGTTCAGTTTGACTTAACGTTTGTCTAAGAATTCGTTCGATGTATCATCAAATCAGTTTGAAAATCAAACATGGACCGACATTCACATAGTCCTGAATCCACATAACAGACATTTATTTTTCTCACAAAATGAACTGCCTTTATGATCCCGTAGCTCTCGTTTTCCTTAAGTTTCATTCTGTCTCTCAAGTTCATCTGGGCCCGCCTCCTCTGGACGCCACCTCCTGCTGATTCGGTGTCACCCGGCGTCAGTCACGCCTCGCAGCCAATGAATTGATCGAGCCGAGTCAAAGGGGCGGGGCGTGACTGTACATGACTCTCGCAGCGGTGAGAAACTTGTGGCTGTTTTTTCTTCACACTGACTGCTGGAGGAGCGGAACCATAAACATCCTGCAACACATCAAGGTATTTATATAATTTAGCTGTTAACGTCATGTGCATTGTGGCTTCCATTTAACTTTAACACCAATTTAGAGAAAAAGAGCGCCTTTACCACGTTTAAACGTGTTAACAGTTGCTTAATACCACGTATGCATGTCAAATGTAACCCTAAAGAGGTTGTACCACGCGTGTATATTTAAAATACGTATAGCGGACTGAGGGACATGAAGTGATGAGGCCGCCTAATCCGTTTACTACACTTCTACAGACGTCACAAGTACACGCAGCAAAACAACCCGCTGCTCCTCATCATGGCACTGGATGGATGTGGCCTCGTCTGCAAATATACCCTCTTCATATTCAACCTCATCTTTGCGGTAAGTCTGTCAAATCATAATACTGCGTTTTGAAGGAAAACAAAAAATATTTCTTATTTGACTTGGCCTCTGTATTTTTTTGTAACATCTCATGGGGGGTGCCGAATAGTTTGCAGGTGTTTTTTTTTTGTTGGCAAAATTAAAAGTTCTTTGTCTAATTCAGCAGGCCGCTGCTTGGCTCCCATTAGGTTTCGTTTCTGTTGAACACCAGCTCAGGTTCCCAGTTACTTTCATTTACACCTGTCTATGCTTAATGGTATAATACCCCCCCCCCCCCCACAGACACTTTCCTGCTTTTATGTACTTTTTTTTTTTGTCAACTGTGGTGTTGCGTTCCAGTGTATTGTTGTCGTTTGACTGCCCCACAGTTCTGCACTCTGTCGTCTCAAAGCCTTTTGTTTGTCTGTTTACCTTCGTGCCACCTGTTATTCAACATGATGTGAATAAACACCACATCTGACTCAACCATGTACCGAACATTACAGGTTCAAAGATGTGAAAAAACGCGTAACCAGGACATTTTACTGCACGTTGAGACTGGGGTTTTAATTGGTTATTTCTGTGTTTCGGCAGTTGGTGGGGTTTGCCTTTTTGGGTATCGGCCTGTGGCTGAGGTTCAGCAATGGCACCAGAGGCATCTTTCAAATAGAGGCCCTCAACTCGAGCGTATTTGTGATGGGTCAGTACTTTCTTTTTGTTAGGCAAATTTGTATAATTTCTCCAAAAATACCCGCACGAGGATATTTTGCCTCTGACACGCATTCGATCACATATCTGTGTTTCTCTCTTTGTGTTTTTATCAGCTGTGACTGTCCTGATAGCTCTCGGCTCAGTGATGCTGATCGTGGTGGCGTTCGGAGACTACGGCGCCTGCAATGGGAAAAGATGTGCTCTGCAAGTGGTGAGACATCTTCGCACGCTAACTTCCTTGTAATGTGGGGCCAACTTCTTTTTTTTTCTTTTTTTTTTCTCCTGTTGTGTGATCACAACATCCTGCCGAACACAATGTACACACTGTTAATTGTGCGGAACGCCTTCAAAAATGAAGGACAAAATAATAGAAACTCCAAATGGGACAAATTACCTCAGGAAAAGTTTTACAGAACCAGGAAATAGAGCGCCAGTGATTGCTCTCCGTTCTATAGTCACTTAATTACTGTAAAGTCAACAAGGCCCGTACACATTTTATATTTGTCATACGTGCAGTGTTGAAAGAGCTTTTCAAAAGTTTCTCTGCACGAGAGCCAAATAATTTAAATTCCTCTCACTTGATGGTGGAGTTGCTGCTGCGCTCCTTCTGCCTCCTGATCAACACACTGGTTAAATGTCAGACAGCTAAAGATTTATTAGCAGGGGAGACCGGGAGAAATGGTAACATTTTTCATTTATTTATTTATTTTTTGCTTCATTACTCACAGACTACTTGAAACACACTAGTCAAGCCATGATAGAATCTCGTATGCTTTCTAAAAACAACTGTATTACCAGAGGTTGTTCATGTTTTCTATTTCTGCTTAAAATGATCTCATTCTCGTACTTCAGTATCAGCGGTAGAACTTCACTTCCTGAAACCTGCAGACACACATTTTCTTGAGAAACCCCCACAGCACACCGGCGGCAAACTAAATCGACGCGAGGGAGGACCGGGGAATGTAAACAAAAGATCCTTTTGTTACTCATATATCTGTTTCGGCACTGTTGACCTTGGTCTTGATTCGGCACTCCTCAATCCTCCTTTCTGGAACCGACACATTTGATGCACAAAGACCGAGTCTGGTGTGCAACCCTACATAAAATAGAATAATAATGAAATGGTAAACAGTCGGGTTAAAGTATGTTGCAATGTACACAGCTATGTTCAAATATCTTTGATTACTGCCTTAGTGTTTTCGCTCTCATTTCCTGTTTTACCTCATAGTCCCGTCTCAGCGGTTCATTAGGGAAGCTCGATAGGTATTCCTGAAGCGTGACACAGCACAGAGGCGGGAGGCGGAGAGGGTTTTATGTGCTGTGGGAGGAAACAGGCTGACACGGTTGAAAACTCTGATTTGCAACATGGAACTGTAATCCAGCAAAGACATTTGCACAAAAAACATGCATACAGTTGCATACCCTTGTTGTGATGCACATGCATAATAGTGGGAGGAAATGGTGTGTTATGTTGTTTGGTTATTTGTTTCTTATCACTTTATTAACATGAGATTTTCTAATCCGGCTTCTTTACCTCCCCTCCTCCTTTCAGTTCTCTGTCCTTCTGACCATCCTAGCGTTGGCTGAAGTTGCTGTCGGAGTGATTGGTTATTCCAATAAAGATGCGGTAAGAATGAAATGGAAAAGAAGGGGAGGAGCACAAAGAACAGTCAAAGAAGTAATCATAAATACTCCATATTTACTGTCATGATAATATGTTTTCATTTATATGATTAAGGTTCGACTGAACATTGTGGAGTTTTACACTAGCATGTATGTTCTGTATGGGACTAGCGGAGGAGACCCGGTCATTGGTGCCACTCTCACATTCATCCACAGTATGGTAAGCACAAAACACGGTTTAACTCCAAACCGTTTTGCCTTAATGCGTTTTGAACTTGATGATTTTGCAACTTGTGTACTGAACTCTTTTATACTTTTTATTGACGTGGCACCCTAAGGTGTTTAGTTATCAAACAACTAAAAGCGACATTAGGAAATTGATAATTTCAATAAATTGTGTCAAATATATAAATGAACCAACAATGTCTTACATAATTAAGCATACTATTCAAATTCAGCTCATCATTATGAAATACTATTTCGTTATTCATTATCATAGCCTAACAACCACATTTACTGGATACATTTTTATTACAAAATGCTCTTTTTTTAAAAGTCAGTCTCCCCGACACTTATTTCATGTCAAGTTTTATTTCACTCAGCTGGTTTATTATCTAGACTGGGTTGAGAGCTTTAATTATGACTTAGCATTAAATTGAAGAGTTAGCAGTGTTAGCTAGCTCCTGTTGGCTTGAGCGACCACAGAGAAAGACTCGGTGTCTCTCTCTGTCTCTCTGTCTCTCTCTCTCTCTCTCTCTCTCTCTGTCTCGCTCTCTCTCTCATCTTCACAAATAAAACTAATTAACCAGCTAACGTGTCACAGCAGCAGCTAGATAAGTGTTGCAGTGTAACTTTGACATTGTTGTTGTTTTAGCTAACAGGTGCTAACTGGCTACATCTGGTTGCAGTTGTTTATCTCGCTAGTTAGAGGCTGGGGCCGTGTGACTAGTGACAACACCGAAGGGAAAAGTGACATTATGAAATACAAAATGACCTGCTAAAAAAAAAAATATATTTCATAATAATTAAAAATTTCTTAAATTATTGCACTATTTGTATATTTTAGACAATTTATTCACATTTCTTTCATAATTACTCCTTTATTTAATGTTTAGCTCTTTGGGGCTCCATTTTAATGATATGAAGTGAGACATCAAAAACGATTGTTCATTTTGAGTGTTCTTAACCTGCTTTCATCTCCCTCCTGTGTAGCTTCACTGCTGTGGACTGACCGGGGTACCGCTGGTAGAGTTGGTTAAACACACCTGTCCCGAACCGGACGGTTTCTTGGAGCATTTCAAGATGGATGTAAGTTGGTGCCAAGAAAGCTGTTGTGATGAACATGATGTATGTGTTAAGATGTGTATGGTTTTGAGTTCACCTTTGTGTTATCTGTGTTCTCTTAGCACACTAGTTCAATGTAGGATGGCTGAGGATAAATAAACCCCCTTTCTTGTTGCCACCATTGGAAACTGAGCGGCTGTATTCTGTCGACTCTGAGATGCTAACAGTTTCTCCTGTCTTGTTGCTACAGAGTTGTCCTGAAGCCATCCTAAGTGTCTTTGAGAGTAAAGCTGAACTGGTGATGGGCATCTTCGTTGGAACTGGAGCTCTTTTGGTAAGCAAATATGTTGCTTACTGCACATTTAGACGCAGTAGATGAAGTCAATGTTTTGGCTGAAATAGGCTGGTGAATGAAAAATGTTTTTACAAGATTTACAATTACCTTTAAAAAAAATGTTTTGGAAGAGTTGTACTGTAGATGCTACTGAATGTGGCTCATAGATAAAGCAGGTATGGCGGCCTACAGGTACAAAGGCTGAGTGTTATCCTCCAAAGACATTACCTGGAGGAGATGATATCAGATTGGCTTCACTTCACAGAACCGGCGGTGGCCGCCTGCTACAGTCTCACATAGCTTGCTAGCGCGGCTTTCGACTCATAATGTAGTAATAAGTGAAACCATATTCTGAGCCGCCTCACCACAACTTCCTGTTCACTGTAAAGTGCTTTGAATATTGTCATGCCTGAAAACCAATAACGAGCCTTATTTATACTGTATTGAAGACAACACAGTCCATAATGTAAAAACCATCCAGTGTTTAATTAGCATCAAATTACAGTCAAAACTGACTGCTGTAGGGGACAAGGAGGAAAAGTGAGACCGATATCTTTTATCTTTTCCATTTAGTGTCTTGCCTTTACATAAGCTTAATTTTGTCTTCTGCTCTTGTTGTTCATAAAGTATATGACCGTGTTTCTAATCACTCTAAATCCCCCTTGTCTCTCTTAACCAATCGTCCTCCCCCTGTCTTGCTTTCACTCTTTTCATTCTCCCCATCCTTGGTGCCCAAAGGTCATAGCTCTGATTTGCAGCATAATCCTCAACAGAAAGCTACGTCTGTCTGAATCACCTGCTCAGTACATCATCCTGACTCAGTCCACTTCTGTCCTGGGTAATCCTATCCCTCAGCACGGATTTGTCTCCACCTCCTACCCCTACCCAGTCGTCTCCACTGCCTACCCTAACCCTGACCCAGTCGTCTCCACCCCCTACCCAGTCGTCTCCACCCCCTACCCTGACCCAGTCGTCTCCACTGCCTACCCTAAAGCTGACGTCTCCACCCCCTAACCCTGACCCAGTCGTCTTCACCCCTCTCTCTGCGGCTAACATCCCTTTGGCTTAGTCCTAGTGCGCTCTTGTTGGTTTTCACTCCCACTCCGTCTTGATTTGATTCCATGACGCTCTAGCATAGAGAATACACATCTATGTTTTTATCCATTCTCTTCACTGCTGAACATGTTCAGCTCCTCTCTGCATGGTCACTGCAGGGCGTCTCCAGCTCGCTTTAAAAGGAAAACTCCAATCTTTTTAAAAAAGGACCTAAGGCACAATTATGACAACACTCCATCTTTTGGAACCGTTTAATTTTGTTTAAATCCCACAGGTTATTGGTCAAATGCTGATATTCTGAGACATTTGTTAAATTAAAGAGCAAAGGCTTCTTATTAAGCCAATAATATTGCACACGTTTCACAGATTATGCATCACTACATAAAAAAAGCTATAACAATATTTTTTATTGTTGACCCATCAGTGAAGGTTTTTTATTATATTATTTAATCTGCATCTATACCGTTAAAGAATAAATATCCAGGGTTGGATTTTTCCTTTAAACCTCTACTTCATCATTTAACATTTTCCTCACACAAATTCTAAAATTAACATACAAGTGGCTGCATGCAAATTGAAAGCATGGGCTGGTGCCGCTCTCACACGAACCCATTCGGTGGCTGGTTTAATCCTGGAGGGGCTAACGAGCGGGAAGCAGGTTCCTCTCCTGTCTGCATCACAGATTATCGCCCTGGTCTGCGCCATTATCCTCCTGAAACGGACCAAGAGAGACCAGCAGGTCTCAGCACCGTGTACCAACAAGAGGATTCGGTTGGCCCCTCTGCCTCACCGACGACGGCCATCGCTGTAATTCAGGCTCAACCAGCAAATGAGTGTTTACATATGTGTCTCTGTATGCATGTTTGTTTATTTATTTTTCAGGCACAATGCACACCAATCAACAGTTAAACTGTAAGTGAGCCAGAGAGGCTAATTTTCATCTGCTGTGAACTACTATACTAGTTTTAGAACTGAATTCAAAATCCTAAAACATCACACTGCGTTTATAATGTGACCTGTTGTAAGTGAACGACACTGCTGCTGAGGTTTTTGTGCTTTTGTCGGTTGTCTACATATGAAGTAGTTAAATGCTGACTGAGCCACTGGCAGATAGCACCACTTGAATTCGTATTGTGTGTTTAAAATTCAAAAACGGAACATTATCTTCAAAATCCATTTCACAATTATTTCAAGTGTTTATTTAAGGTTAAAATCACATGACATTGTTGAAATGAAGTTTCAATTTATCCTAACTTTCTTGTAACTGTTAATTAATTTTGGTGCTGTAGAGGTGTAATGTCACATTGTTACACGAGTCATTTATACGTTGCTTTAGTTTTGCAAATATTGCATTCCATGTCATTTCTTCCAGTTGTTGTTGCACCCAGAGGGCCACAGGTCAGAAAGCAAAGTCTTCTGGTGTGTGACAGAAATATTCTGCATGCTTCCCTCAGTCATCAGGTACTGTTTCAGGCTGTTAAACTGACTGTAAACATGCCGAGTGCTTTAAAGCTGTGCTGCCTTCCTGTAAACGCTGGGACACATCTTGCTGTTAAGAGACATTAGTTCAACTTTTCATTCCTGCCAAAAGCCTTTCGGACCAAATGGAAGTATATTAAGGGTCCTGTTTAGACAGAAGACAGCTGAATTGTTTGTGTATCGCTTGTTTTCTTTCCCGTACCACTGTAGTACTATTTGCATTGCACTATATTGTTTTTACATTCACACGTTTTTGAATAAATATTCTATCGAGGGCTTTTCCTCTCCTCTTCACTAAGACTTGTGTATCGGTTATTTCCATGAAACAAAACAAGAGTGCAGCTGTGTAAGAGTGTTTATTTCATTGCTCACGCGTCACTGTTGGGACCTGTGAGGAAAAAAGAAGTTCATGTTAAAGTTCTCGAGACTGACTGGGCCTGATGCTTATAAAGTTTTTGGTGAAATATGATGACTACATTGGGTAATGTAAACTATGTAGCCACAATACATCTCGTACATTCAACAGGAATCCATCTGTGCAGCTTTAGTGTAGATTCTCAGTGGATCACAGACTTATTGTTGGAGGGACAATAGTTCTTTGTTGAGTTAGACTTTCCAAGTCTGGAACCCACAAGTCTTCAAATTATAAAAATATATATAATCAATGTATAAGAACCTTGTTGGACTAGTTCCTCTCTTATGTTTCCACTGTGTTAAACTTACTGCTGATGCAGCGTACAGTGCAGTCACCATCTGCAGCAGAGCACACTTCTGTCGAGCACAAGAAGTAGATCTGAGGGTAGGAGAAAAAATGAAGAAACAAAGAAATGGTTTTATGGCACAATTACACTAATCCTAGTCTACATGTAGCCACCACTATGGATGGTCTTTAGGGTAGCCTGAACTTCAAAGACAACAATAGATGTTTACTTGTATGAGCACGTTAAGTGGGAGGTACCTCTGGGTCCTCCAGGTGAGAGTATCCTCCTTCAGCCATGTATGGGGGACTTTCTGAGTGCAGAGACAGGAAGCCAGAGATAGTGAACCTCCGGATGTGGTGGGGGTCAGGGCGTGGCGAAGGAAGCGGCTCTGAATCACCTCGGCTGGGACAGCTGAACACAGCGGTGAGAGCACAGCTACAACTGAAAATCTCTACAGGAGAACTTTGTAAATAGCTCCTCAGACTTCATTAGAATTCAATGAAAATACAAATTATATCAGTATCTAATACAAGTAATTAATTTCTGTACAACATACCCATCATAGACCAGCATCCAGCTGGCGTATGGAGCTTGAGAGTAAGCCAGGCAGGAGTGAACCAGCAGCACCAGGCCGGGCTCGGGGGGGTCCAGCAGGCTCACCTCCATATAGACTGGTCTGCCTCGCAGGAGGCTGAGAGGCAGGTGAGCCTCGGGGTGGAAGCTGGTGAAGGACTCGTCTACGAGGAAGAGAACATTGGAACAGTATTACGGTGCTGTGAGGCATGATGGGCCATTTAAAAGAGAATACAGAGAAGACAATCACCTGTGGCAATTCTCAGTAGCACAGCGACAGTGGCTGGTGTAGAGTGAACAGGAGGTGGAGGAGGTTGACCCATCACATGGAGCTTCACTTCACCTGGAGAACCCGGGGAGGAGCTACATTCCACCATCAGCCTGTGGATCAACAGAGTGGCTGCAGCGTGTCTCAATATCCAAAACTAAGCTGAGCATCTTTGACAGACGGCAATTATTTCACGACGTGTGCGTCGCAGCTCGTTTATTTTGGGACAATGTTTGTCATTTATCCTCTGATGTTGCATCTTTTGGAGGTGGAGATGTGTCTGTGTGTGTCTGATGGTGTTCTGTGAGCTGCTGCTTTGAATGATTGCAGCTGTGTTTCCTGACTGATGGCAGTGCAGCAATCAGCAAACGCTGAGTTAGTGAAGCTGTGATTTTGGGATAATTGCATGCATCTGTTAACAACTGTAACATTTTACTGTAAAAATAGAGGTAACATATTTTGCAAGGGGTGGATTTTTTTTGTGTGATTCAATTTTCCTCTATTTTATGTTAGATTCTATGCCTATGATCATTAGAAAGGAAAGTAAACTGAGCATGTGTTGCAATCTAGGCCTGAGCTTTGACTCCACCTCCTGGCCAAGTGCCATTTGAAAGCTTCGAAACTTCCTGGGATCAAAAAATTAAACAAAAACATTCAGAAATATGCGTCTGACTGATTGCATGAACATATATTAATGCAATCAGCTGACTACTGTCTGTAGATGATCTGTTGAAGTCATTCAACAGAATTGGATTCTTGTCTAAAAGAAGTAGAAATAATTTGCAACACAAAGCTAACAGCAGAAAAATAAATGTCCGCCTGTAAAGAAGCACACGATTAAAAAACAAAAAACTGCCCAAACTCCATACTTTTTTCTTCGTCAGTTCCTTTTTTTCCCCAGACGTGTTACCGCAGCAGCCCAGAGAGATGCAGCAGTCGAAATCTGACACAGGGCCAAGGCCCCGGGGTGAGGCAGAGAACGGCTCGGCCTTGAGTTGATCTGAGCGCAGAGAGCAAACAATGAGAGGAGAGCCAGTTATACTTCAATAGCTCTATTCAGCAGCAGGAGAGATGACAGATTCATAAATTCAGACTCGGTTTTCCATTCAGGTGTCTAGTTACAGCCAGAATAGATGCCAGACCTTTAGCCTGGCACGGCTGAACAATAATGTTCTGCCGCCTTGTGGTGATCTGAAGTCAGGACACTGACACCAAAAGCTACGTCCCAAACATAATAGCTGCTGGTTTTTCACCTTTCATTTCATTATCCAGCCTCTCTTCTGCTTTTTCGCCACCAGGACGTCCAACAGCATCATATTGATGTTCCCGGGTGTTATGAGGGGAATAATAATAGTAGTAGTAAGGATGTAGGGGGTCATTGTGAGCATCATACGCTGATTCTGTAGGTGGAGTAGAGGCTTGAGGATTGGGATAGGAGGGATGCTGAGGCGGGGAGGAAGACGCTGGAGGCAGATGCTCTAAATCTAAAGCTTCTTTGGAGGAAGTCGGAGACCCGCGATGGTCAATGCCGAGTAAACTCTCAGGTCCATAATACATCTGATAGTAGCGATAATAAGGGTGGTAGTAGAATGGGTAAGGAGGAGGATTATGGTAGGGTGATGGAGTGGGGAAGGAGGGTTGTTCAGGACGAGGAGATGCAGCAGCGTCAGGTACAGGAGGGTGAGTGGAGGGGGGTGGGGGGCTTGGACTGCTGGGGCCACAGGGGCAGAGAGTCTCTTTTTATCATCTACAGTAGCTCTGCTTTTACATCGACATAATTTTGTGTTGAGCAATATTGTTATGTAATAGATGTTTAATTGAGGAAATAATCAGCAGATTCATGCAGCACTGTTTTGCTGATTTCAGATTTAGAGTGTTTTCAAGGTTTGTCATTTCACCTCCTGTACGTCTTGAGCAGATCACTGTTTTACAGTTCACTAGCTTGTGTAATTAGCGTGTGCGGTTGAACAAACCTGTTTATGTGTTTTCTAGGAACCGTCATATAGTCCCTTTATATTGAAGATAAGGAAGACATGTGTTGTTCTGTATGTGTGTAAAGTCTATACTGGGAACAGCGCAGTGGAAATAGACAGTGAAGAAAAACACAGATGGACGCACAAGTATTTCATTCTCCCTCTCACGCTCTCTTTGTGAAGCAAAAATACATCTGTCTATCTGTAGTATTCATACTATTCACACAGGGTGGAATAGATGAGAGGTAATGTGAGTGAGATGAATCAACAAAGCCGGGAGTCGTTAATTTGCATGTAGGTAGCATACTTGTCCCTGAGATAAAACTTCCTGGTACATCCGGTTGAATAGTGTACCTAGATTATAATGTGTGTGTGTCTATGGGTGTGTGTGTGTGTGTGTGTGAGCGAGGTAAAGAGAGGCGGAGGGAGAGATGGCACAGAGCATTTCCTGTGTTTTCTGTTTCCTTTCTTTGTTCTAAAGCTGGGGTTTAAGTTTCACATTTTGAAAAATCCAAAAATGTCCACTAGTCTTTTCATATATATTTTCTTTCTGCGTGATAAACAATTGCAATGGCCTGTTCAGTTTGACTTAACATTGGTCTAGGAATTATTTCGATGTATCATCAAATCAGTTTAAAAATCACACATGGACCGAAATTCACATAGTCCGTTAACTGACATTTACTTTTTCACAAAAATAACTGCCTTTAACATCCCGTAGCTCTCGTTTGCCTAAAGTTGCTTTGCACAAGGCAGTAAAACAGCCTGATCTCGGCAAGTCTTTTTGAAACTTGCCACTGGTATTGATGTCTCCATAGCGTTTTCCTCATTGGCAAAGCATACAGCAATCCGGATCTGATCCATATATATATAACAGTGGTGGGCCGTCAGGGCCAGCAAGGCCTTCTCTGCTGGCCTAGACAGAATCGCAAATGTATAGCTTTTTTATAATTTAATAATTTTTCATAAATACACGACATGTATTATCATTTTTTCCCCATTATCTTATTTTCCCATTGCACAGCTACTGTCTTCCTCAGTTGCTCTGCTTCCAATCAGATTTCACCTCTGTGTCTCTAGGTAAGAAGAGAGGCCGAGGCCTGCAGACTCACAAGTGAATCCCTGTGCAGTTTAAGTGAATGGGGACGATATTGTTGAATGTCATAGTCTTCAACCAATCAGATCTTTAGTTTGACATGTTGGGCGTATTCTTTGACGTGTCAGGGCCTGCTAGCTGGCCTAGCCATACGTGATTGATCAGTGGGCGAGCGTGACATGTTGGGCGGTGACAATCCAAATATCTGCTGCCTCTGTGGAGCGGACATTTTCAGCCCTTAAACGCATTAAAACGTATTCAGGAAATACAACTGGGAAGGCTCGACTGTCTTCACTGGCGTCCATGAATCGAGAAGGACTTCTTACTGGAACTAAAACGCACGGATGTACTGAACAACCGTGAGATTAAACTCTTTATTAACAAAGAAAGGAGGATGGACTTTGTCTTTAAATAGTGAACAGCAGCTTTGGTAATTGAACTGCTTTTGTTTTTACATCTGCAGTAGCTTTAAGATGCTTGTTTATATATTATTATTTGTACAACTTGTTTTTATGAAGATGGATTTTGTTTGGTTTTATATGTGATAGGAACTATTGTTACGTCCAATGTTGCTCTGGGGACACATTTAGTCGGTGCCAGTGTTGCCAACTTGGCGACTTTCTCGCTAAATCTGGTGACTTTCCAAACCCTCATGGCGACTGTTTTTTTCAAAAGCTACTAGCGACAAATTTAGCGACTTTTTCTGGTGTTGTTGGAGACTTTTCTGGTGTTTTGACTCTGACGTGAAAGCACGTACGTTCTGCACTGTGGTGAACGAGCAGCGGGTGCTCAGTAAAAAAACGGAATAAACTCACTAGCAACACCAGCTGAGGTGGTGATGTCATCAAGTACGCTGCTGTTCCAATTGCAGAATGAGTGTACTTATTGTGTTAGGACACAAGTATTTACTCCACAAGTACACAAGTCCGTACTTGGCATACTTGGTATTGAGAAAGGCCCTTTCTGTCTGTCTCTCTCTCCCTTTCTACACACTGACACACATACACAAATGACTTGGAGATATTCAGTCAAAGGCATTGTTAGACCTCCTGTCTGTCTGTCTCTTTCTTTCTCTGTCTCTCTCTCTTGTGTCTCTCTCTTTCTCTGTCGTCTGCAATCTCTCTCTCTCTCTCTCTCTCACACACACACAAGCCTGTCATTTAATAACCTCTGTGTGTGTGTAAAACATTATGATTCTGTCTTCTCTCCCCCTCTCTCCCCCACCCATTCCCACACGTTCAACATAAAAGCCCCATGGAGTAACTGTGTCTTAACATTAAGCTCAGAATGAGGTTCATGTCAAGCAATGTTATGTTCAAGTCTTTCCATCACAAATACAGAAGTCATTTCCAAAGGTATGTATATCAAATACAGAAATGATGGGAGTGTTAGCTCCGTCAGTCACGCCTCGCAGGCAATGAAATGACCGAGCAGAGTCAAAGGGGCGGGGCAGGGCGGGGCGGGACTGTACAAGTAGCGCGCAGCAGTGAGAAACCTGTAGCTGTTTTTTCTTCACACTGAGGAGAGGAACCGCGAACACCTGCAACAAATCAAGGTATTTATTTGATTTCGCTGTTAACGCCATTCATAGCATGGCTAACGACCAATTTAGAGAGAAAGAGCGCTGTTACGCCGTTTACATGTCAAATGTAACCCTAAGAGGATGTGAGTACATGCGTGTATATTTAACATACGTATAGCAGACTAAGGAACAGAAGTGATGAGGCCGCCTAATCCGTTTACTACATTTTACAGACGTCACAAGTACACACTGCAAAACAACCCGCTGCTCCTCATCATGGCACTGGATGGATCTGGCCTCATCTACAAATATACCCTCTTCATATTCAACCTCATCTTTGCGGTAAGTCTGTCAAATCATAAAAAAAATTATATCTCTTATTTGACTTGGCCTATGTATTGTTTTTTTTCTTTGGTAAAATGTCATGAGGGGAAAGCCGAATAGTTTGCATGTTTTGTTTTTTTTTGTTGGCAAAAATAAAAATTATTTATCTAGTTCAGGAGGCTGCCATTAGGTTCCGTTTCTATTGAACAAACACTTTAGACAAATAAGGTTATTTTTAACAGCAGTATTCCCTTAACACAGTAGCAGTTAAAATACAGTTATGATTCTGATAATAGATATTCAGCCGGTGTTCACAACTTTATCTTCATGTGTGTAAGAGATGCAATTTGAAATATACACCTTGAAAACTGCAAACCTATCTATGTCATGTTTTTATATTTGTTAAAGTCTGAGTAGTGATAACTAAATTATATGCTTGTTATGTATACTACAAACAAAACCACTTTAAAAACTCTAAAAAAAATAATTTAA